AATGTAGAATCTCACTCTCTATTTTCTCCTCTGCTCTGAAATGGAGTGAATGCAGACAAGCATACACCCAAAGCCCTGTTACATATCACCACTGTCTCATGGAGATTGTATCTCAACATATTGCAATATATCACTAAAAATCTGATTTTTCTTGCATTTATGGAGCTGATGGTGGGAGATACAACCAGAGGGGAAGTAAAATCTATCATTCAGCCAGACATCTTAATACTGGAGGACAGAGATAAGGATCATTTTGCAAAACTGGTACAAGAAGAGTTAACCTGTTTGCAAGCAGGCAGTCTATGAACATTCAGACAACATTATTTTCCTTAATCTGCCACCTAGCGCTCTCCTGTCATCAAACAGGAGTTTTATGTCCACCTAACATACTGAATAAGTAAACCAGGTAGCAAAATTCAGGACACACATCAGCAACATGTTCTTTCATGCTGAAATTTCAGCAACACTGAAATCTGGAAAGTGAATTTCAATTTTCTCAACTGCAAAGATCTCAGTTTTCCCTGTAAATAAATAAATAATAATAATAAACAATGTTCTCATGAGAAATATTTGCCAGGGGCAAACTCCATCTTTGAAGCATTCTGGCATCAGCCAAATTGCTGGTTTTCTTATGTAATATCCCTAAAGGGATTTCAGATGAGAAAGGCAGATGTATCAGTGCCAGAATTATTTCCACAAGAACTGCTCCTGATGGCAAACAATTCCAGCAAAGGGAACAAAGACAATTATCATCACAAACCCCCCACCAATACTCAAACCAAAGGACTTAGAAGAGAAACCACTTGCAAACCATATATGTGAAGTCAGGCAAGAACAAGAAACAAATGCACAAATTTTCATATATATATAAAAAAAAAATCATGCATGTAGTCAAGTGTATCACAGCTTGTGGCTTCTAGAACAACATTCAGAAGGCAGTAGAGGAAACCATCTCTTTTTTTTCCTACTGTTATTTTGGATTCTCTAGAGACATGAAGACAATTCCCAACTGAAACGCTATAAATCAACACACAGGCCTCCTTGCTTTGACTCCACCACAGAACTGTTGTTTGATTTGGAAGAAATGATTAATAGAAAACCTACATTTACCCAGTGAAAACATCAATATTTGTTATAACTTCAATAAAAGTTACAAATATAGCAAGTAGAACCAGACATACAGTGAAGATATTCACAGATAATTAAAAAACATTACAGTTGATGCATATCAATAGTTTTTTGTCTTTTTTTTTTATTTAATATTAGTCTACAGTTTCTTCCAATAGATATTACAGAAGAAACTAATAGAAACTAATAAAGATACACTACACAAAATAATGTGCAGTATATTTCCTGCTGATTTTGCAGTATTTAATAGTATAATAGTATATAAGTACAATTAGTCTGCTAACAGTATGAAGCTATTTCAAAGGAAATACGCTCAGGAAAAAGTACAAACACTACAAAAAATTCAATTCATTATTCTACCATTGGGGGGGGGGGAAGGGACAGTTTTTAGGGGTTTTGTTGTTGCTCTTCTTGACAGTCATAGAAACACGCAGCTGTATCGTGAAAGCAAAACAGACAGAAGCAAAGATCATACCCATCTGGATCTTTTAGGCACACTGTAGCCAAATAAACCAGTGGTTTCATTCACATGGTCCCTCCAGGAATGTCTGACAAATTAAATTGGGATTATTCTAGCAAGTCTGCTAACAAACCATGTATGAACAGAGCATTAGTTTCATCTCCTCCTGACTGATAGCCACTTTTAACACACATCAACCACTAAGAACTATATCATAACTACCACAATGAAAACTGGCTTTCGTCTTGATGTAGAAGACCCTTTTTTTCCTGATAAATACCACCAACTTTAACAAATACTCCAGTAGTTTGCTTTGTTTTGTTTTATAACAGTTCTGAACAATGATGCCACTTCTTCAGTTGTATACTGAGTATTAAAAGGAGAAAGACTGAGAGCACAGTGCAGTTCTCTCTGAAGTAAATAAAAAGAAAAACCTAGTTTCTTCTTCTTCACTCCTACTTACACATCACATCTTACTGCTACTCCCAGTCCTGAAGACCTCAAGAAATTACCTTTCCAGAAATTGCCAATTTACCAGTTATCCAAGGAAAATATAAATAGAAAATCTCATGAGCCCGTTCAAGAATACAAGTCAGCTAACTGTATTGATAATGCCAAGCTTCCCGTAAAAGGAAGGGGAGAGTTTATTCCACACATATCTGAGAACAACAGCAATGCCATAGATGCTATCTAAAATAATAATAATAATAATAAATATATCTATACAAGACAGTCACTGAGCTGGAAGCTGAAGACCAGCTCTAAACAAAGGTGAGACATTTAATTACTGACTGGAACTTAGCTTGGTAAAATGATGCAATTGAATTACAAATCCTATGCTAGTCTGATTTTTCTTCCAAAAAAATGATTCAGAGTAATTGAGTTGTCCTTTTCAGAATCTTTAAACATATGCCATCCCTCTCAGGTAACTTCATTTTAAAGAAATTTTTAGAACTCAACTGAAAGCTATTCTACTGATAAAGCTCACCATGAAATAAAGATGTTTCACTATGATGGATGCTATATAACTGGACACTTTTATTACCAAGACTGGCTTATGAAAGGCTCATCAGAAAAGTATCAGATGCTTCTATATTGCAGTGCCACACATCTGCACAGACATGGAACACGAAAAGATTTCAGTCATGTAACTCCCAGATTCTGAGCTGCAGAGCAGCGAGGGCTGTTCCTCATTTCTCAATTTTGAGTAACCAGTGCCGTCAATGAAGTTTGGCTTCGGTAGACCAAAGACCTTACCATTACCCAAAATGATCTGGAAGCAATACTAAAGCCATGACAAAGTAAATTGTGTTTCATTGTATTATTATTTTTTTTTTTCCTCCTCTGGCTGTGAGAACACACAGATCAATACACTTCAGCATGAGAATTCTGCAGTGAAATTTTCATTTGTTACAAACAGCAACAAAAAGGCCCCAAGCATGCCCTGTCACTTTCAGTTTAGAAGGAAATGCACTAATAAACTCTTACCCCTGGGTCATCTTTGACAATGGGCAATACTATGCCAGCTCTTATTAAAGGCAATTCGTATCAGTGGCCCAAAAATTTCCTTTAAAATTATCATCTTTTGTATCCATGTAGCAGGATGTCAGCTTTAAAGTGCCACTGAGATATAGGACCTGTCATTTTGGTTAATTTTCAGTACAGTTTTAACACCAGGGTAGCCAATCCCTTAGGGTATGCTTTTTGGCTAACAAGATTTATTTAGTGGTTATCTAGACAAACAAGAAAATATATTACTGTATATTGCTTTTCAAATACAACAGCAAGCAATAAATCCTACTATAAAATATAAATCCCTGTTCTTTATCATGATGTCAAAGAAATAAAAATGTTTTAGATAATTTTCTCAATTTTTAAAATTACGTATATAATATGTATATCATATATATATTGTTTATCTTGTTAACAATTATTATTGTTAAACATAATATATACATATAATGTTCATCTTAAAATATCAAGACTTTATAGATGTCGTGTACATAGCTATCAAGTTTTGTTTCAAGGCATAACGATCACATTCTCAATCAAATGACCCAAGCTATTCAGGACAACATACTGCATTTAAAACAAAAATAATATGAAGTTTGATACTGTTACCTCATATTTTTTCAGAGGGAAATAGAGGTTTAAACACTATTTTATTGCTATTTGTCCTGTTTTCCTGATAACATTGTATTAGGATGAAGACTTTTGCACTTTGGTAGAAGAAAGGGTACATCAATAGAACAAAAAAAAGCTGTTAACATATTGTCTAAATCCTCATATGTTCCATGGAGTCTGTTTTTATTGATGTTATATAGAAGATAATAAAACCTAGCTGACCTCAATCTCCTGGTCTCCCAGGAACAAGACCTCTGCCAGAAAATGCCAGATATCAAATATCAGAGCATTTACTTGGCTATCTTTATTTCTATAAGCTGAGAATGAACTGGCTTTCCTTGCCCTAGTTCCAGACCCAATGGTTGATCTCAGATGACAACTGACCAAACCTCCTATGGCTGAAGCAATGAGTCAAGCAGGAGTCCTTCTTGTGCCCAACTCTAGCATACCTGGCCCAAATCACCCCCACACTAGGCATCACAGACAGGCTTTTGTATGCCCATATAACTTAGTCCACACTTCAAAATGCTAAGTCTCAGAGCAAATGTAAGAGTCAGGCAAAACAGGCAATTGCACAGGTGGCACAGGCAGGCAAGAAGAATTTTGATAATTTACTCCAGGACAAGCAGCAAGTGAATTTGAGAATCAGAACCTGAAATTCTATATTCAATCGTGTCTTTTACCAGTAGGATGACATAATACCAGAACACAAAAAGAAGTAATAAAGCACCAACTCAGCATTCCTACACTTAATTCATGGTTTTGTTCCAATAGACTTCTGAATGAACTGCAACAGAAAAGCATTTCTTCCTACTCCACAAGTTGGAAATCACTGTAGAACATCTCCATAATATTTTCAGTCCCTGGATACGTAAAGTTTAAAACTGATTTTCTACACCTGTCTCCCAGAAGAGAAATGTATTATTTTACTGAACTGTCAGCCTGTTCAAGACAGCAGATTAGAAAGGCAGAGTTAACTAAGTAGAGTGGACTTTCTCATTTCTTGGAAAACATTTATGAAACGTTAGGCAGTTTTTCACCTTAAATCCAACAATCTACAGAAAAAGCATACAGGATACTGCACACGTTGCAAGATCAGGGACTTTACACAGATGTGTTCAATAGAAAGTACAAGAATTTTTGCTTTATGACAATTCCAGAAGCCTCACAGGAGGGCTACGTTTGTATAAGCACTTCAGATCAAGGCATCTGTAGACTAAATAAAAGATGTAAGCAGAAAACACTGGTACTCAAAGCATTTAAGCAGATAAAATGACCCAAACCTTACCTCGAACAATAAGTTGAGCGAAATTTGACACTCCAGAACCTCTCTCTGATTGAGTTACACAACGGTATAAATCCTGGTCAGTTTTTGTCACCTCTTGCAACTTAAAGGTAGCAGCAAATCTTCTGTGATTTATATTTTTAGTCTGAGCAACTGGTATATCTTCCCCATTTCTTCTCTGAAATAAAAAAAGAGAAACCAAAGCAGAAAGATATTGTAAGAATATAATAAGCATTTATCATTGTCATCATACAATAAGTACATTAAAAAAACCCACAATAAGAAATGTGTTCACCCTATGCATGATTTTTGTGATACAAGAACTCAGAATCAAATTTGGGGGTTAAAAACACGGTCAGGTTTTGCAGTGACACAAGACTGACTGTGCCATACACAACTGCCACTACTTCATAGGTGGGATCCCCAAAGGACAGTCCAGGAGCAGCTGCATTCCCAATAAAAATCATTCAACTTAAAAAGAAATTATAATAGATATGCTGGATTTATTGTAAATAATAATAATTTAAACAACATCCAGCATTAAGGATTTTTACTGGTTTTCAATAGCTATTTTTCAACAAGCAGCCAACATTTCCTTTCTAATGCTAGCTTTTATCTGCCCAAATTCAATACCTTCTAAAATTGTACTTCTGTTACACTAAGCACCACCTACCTACCTAGAACTAGTTGAAATAAAAAGAGAAGAGAAGCAAACTCTTAAATGGGAAGATGTATATCTATTTTAAAAGCAGTTATTAAGAAAAAAATTATAGCTACCACAAGTCACTGAAAAAAATTAATCTGTCTGGAGCTGTGGGAAGGACAAGTCAGAAAGTAGAATTAGTTTCAGCTCGTGAACAGTTGCTCTTATCTCCACTCACACAAAATACTATTTTAATCAAAAAACAGATCCTCTATGAAAAGCAAGCATTTGAAAAAAAAAAAAAAAAGGAAAAAAAAAAAGGAAAACACTAACAGAAACTCACACCAACCAAATAAACAACATCCCTTCACTCTACCATGGATCAACTGAATGGATTTCCAGCTCAGGACGCATTTTCTGAAGGCACAGCTTTGCTCAGTCACCCACCAGAAAGACATCGTAATTCCCTTTGTAGCTACACTGCCTGCTTTGTCCAATGCACAACAAAATGAGACCTCTGCTCATGTTTTTAGCTCTAATTGACTCCTGGAATGAGAATCTTCAGTGTAGTCTTAAACTCTGAGCTTGCTTTCTAATGCAAGAAGCAAGACTGCTGAGCAACAGAGTTTAATAACCCAACAGCCCGTGGCAAAATGCAAAAGGGAAAAATAGGAAACAAGTTAATACTGCTCATGTATACACACCCGCCTCTGTCACAGACAGGAGTTCTTTGTAACTCTTGGACACTTCATTTCACATCTACCACTTGTGATCTTAGCATGAGTTAGTCACTCCCTACATAGCTTTGCTGCAGATTAGCCAGAGGTTCAGCACTGCTTCAAACCAGCTAACAAGATTTACTTTCAGTAGTAGTATATTTCAAAAAGATCCTCATTAGGCTCTGTCACCTTTCTTGTAGCAGACACAAAGGATCCATCCCCTGCTTCAATGCAGGCCTTGTATTAAAACGTTTACATGAATAGTTTAGTCACTGGTATTCTGCCAGAAGCAACTGTGCTGTCATCTGCATCAACAGCAGGTTTATTGGGGTGACTCTTCCTCAGTTCATCAGGAGAGGAACCCCTGCCAGCTCACCACACCACTCTCTCTTCTGTTAGGCCAGAAGGGGCCAGCAGCCACCACAGCGTTTGGCCCAGTCCGGGTCATGGTAAGACAGTGGGGCAGGACCAGGCTCAGCAAGACACAAAACGTGCACACTGATCTCCACAGGGAGATGGAGCATGAGATGCTCCTGAACGGCTCTCACACAGCTCCTGCCTTAGTCAAAGTCCCTTGTCCTGTAACCTTCCAGACTCTGATTAATACATGGATGCTGCCAGAAGGACTGTTCACAAGGCATCTGCTTCCTGTGAGAAGGATGAAGGAAGTCTGCTGAGGCTCACAAGGACTCCTGTCTTCCTGTCAGAAAGGCCTTGCTGAACCTCAAGAATCAAAGAAGTTATTAAATTCCAATATCAAGCAAACAAAGGGTAACGTTAAAGGCTTGATTTGAGCTCTACTTAAGCTACAGCAAAACCATTTTGCAGGAGATGCACTTCTCACTCCGTGGAGCTGGCATTTTCCAGTAGGAAAGCCATACTGTAAAGCAAGATTTTCTTCTAACTTTTCTCCCTCAGTTTTGAGTAGAGGCTTAAAGAAGCCACAACTCAAACTCTCTGCAAATGTTGATCTGTTATGAAATGTTATAGTTGAAACAACTATAATAAGCAAACTCATAGCACTGTTTCCTCTCATGCTCAGCTGTGCCCCCCACAGTGCATGCTTTCCCCAGTGCAGCATGTGGGCAGCAAGCCAGGGGATACCAGGCTATCCTGGAAAACACAGACCAGCCATGCAATTGTTAAAATGATCAAGCAGGATATAATGAACAGAAGGCTTATCTTATTGTTAAATATGATGTGATAGTAGAGTTGACAGTAACCCATGTAATGCAATAATTCTTGTTCTCTTGTAAAGGGATAAATGAACATCAGAGACAGTTTTCTAAAATTAAGGACTCCCTGCAATAAGTCCAGTGCTTTCAATTTCAATGCCACACGCAGCCTGCAGCAGAGAAGCCCATCACAAAGGTTAATGCATAAAATTATCTACCCTCCAAAGCTCCAAACTTGCTTACTTCAGCTAGCCCTGCATGCTTCATGTTAAAGAAGTAAAAGTGAACAGGGCTACTATTTAAAGTTAATTTTAGAGCAATTAATCAAAATGATATTTAATGAGCTTTGCAGTTCTGCTCCAACAACAGAACCTAGGATTTATTTTTTTCATTTACATCAGTGATTTCTGACTACTTAATCTTACAAGACTCAGAGTACTTGCTCAAATTGCTCTGTATTAGGATTTGTTTCTTGGGAATTCAATGGTACAATTACATCTTCAAAGTCAATTTTCATGTACAGCTTACCCATTAAAATGTTTTTCAGTCATTAAAACCATGAGAAGTTCAAACAGTAGAGAGTTCTCACTTGAAAACAAATGTTAAAGAAAATACTTGCATTTATTTCCCGTGCGTGTCCCTTACACCAGCAAACCATTAACCAGTCAGAGTTCAGATGCACTGCCACGATCTCTTAATTAAATTCTTCTTTTTAATGTCAGAGCAATATCACTGATTTTAAAGGAGAGGAAAGAAAGGCAGCAGCACTCTCCGCTTATTAGAGGGCTTCTGGTACATACTGTTTCAATTTATGTCCTGCTCATACTGCACAGAGCTTGAAAACACTGCTCAATTAGGTTTTAAAAATTCAATTTAAAATTAATGTGGAGTTATACTAATAGGTAATGGCTGTACCCTGTGTGATTCTCCGTTCCTCCAGCCCCTTGCTGTCTGATTTGATAACCCTGAATTGTTCATTTAGGAGAGGTCAGCAGCAGTCAGCTCTTCTCCTTTGCTGGAAATAACTCTGGGCCTCACCAAGAACTACAGTCTACAAACACTTGAATAAAATGAAACATAAGCAGGTGAAAAAGTCTCCTTCCCTCCAGCATTCCAGACTTTTAAATCTATTATGTTAAATTAGACCCTATAACTTCACACTTATTTTTAATTTGATAGTAACATTTTTTTTTAAATTATTCTCAAGTAATGAAATGAGAGCATATATTTATTCAAAAAAAAAATTAACAATGAAGGGTATGCAGCTTAAAAACAGTCGAGGGCAAAACAACAATTAGGAGAGACCTTAAAATTTCTCACTTCTTCCTCATGAAAGAATGTAAGTGTTTAATTAATATGAAATGATATTCTATTGAGTCTTCCAGAATGGGACGAGAAACATCCTAACCTTAACATCATACCTGAATTGTACCTATTGAGTACATCACTAAATTTTCTAATACAGACTTAAAACTTACTTCACTTTTTAACTTGAGAGATAAGATTAAGTCTTCTTGTTCTTTTTTTTTTTTTTGGGGGGGGGGGGGTTTGTGTGTGTGTTTTGCTTTTAAACACTGAGAAGATATCATACATTTCTGTGCTGAAGTTTCCTCTGAATTCTCTTGAACTCTGTTTTTCATAACACTGATTTTTATCAGCCTGGACAGCTCGACCTTACACATCTCGGTCCCTTTCTCAGTGTAAATATCTTAACATAAGTCCACTACACTGCTAACATCTACAGTCAATCCTGTTTGCTTTCTCAGGCTTTCGGCTGGACCCTGGTATGCCTCCAGAGATCAGAAGATGTCAACACCACGGCTGCAGTGACACACACATTGCTTCAGCAGCAGTGCCTACCACAGCACACTCACTCACCCTTCCTTGCCAGTACTCCTAACTTCATGGAAAAAATAAAAATAAAAATCCATCCTTGAAAATACATCGTCTCCCATCTTATCATCATCAAGGAATCCATGATCTAATTCACTGTGTGGCCATGGGGAGCAGGCAGGATCTGTCAGGGTGCAAGAGGAGAGCTCAAGCAACTCTGTCCCCAAATGAGAAATTAGAACTTCACCAGAGAAGAATTCCCCCAGCACCAGGGGAGTTATACCAGGGGAGTTACACTGAGATGCCTAGAGAAAAAGGGAATTTGTAAAGTACATAGTGTCATTACACTTCTCTTTTCTTGTGTGCTTTTACCCACTGTGTACAGGCAAAAATATCTTGCAGTGGGTTTTTTTGTTTGTTTGTTTTGCAAGAGGAAAAAAAGGTTGAATGAAGATAGCTTCAATGTAGCAAGAACAGATGATGTCAAAAAACATTTTGGTAAAAATTAAATAACATAAGGGGGGAAAAAACTAACCTAAATTACCATACTTTAAAAATTTACTTATGTGCAGTTTGTCAGGCAGCAGCTTTTTCTTTTCTGTCAGTTTGCTTTTCAAAGAAAGCAAGCGGTTACGGGTTGTTTCTTTTTCTTCCCCTTTAAGTAGGTAACGAACGTAACAAACTTTAAGCTGGCTGGTCTCCCCAAATGTATGATAAAACAGACTAAAAGAGCTTCCCATGCACTACACATGCATTTCAAAATCTTTTCCCATGCACATATATTCTAACAATTTTGAGGAAAGTGCAG